ATGTTGCAGGAGGATGTAAGGCTCATGTATGACATGGGTCTAGATGCGTTCCGACTCTCCATCTCCTCGCCGCGCCTTATACCAAGTGGAAGAGGTCCTGTGAATCCAAAGGGTTTACGGTTCTACAAGAACCTCTTTTTTGAGCTCAAAAGATACGGTAAGATTATGCTTCTTATCATTCACATTTGGTGTCCAGAAGAAGATGAATTTTGTGCTTCTCTGTTTCAGGAATTGGACCGCATGTTACCTTGTATCACAGTGATCTCCCTCAGGCTCTTGAAGATGAATACGGAGGATGGATTGACTGTAAAATCATGTAAAGCCAACTAAAATTGTATGCATAATCCTTCTAAGTGAAGTGTGTGCTATGAATCTTATATATATGATATTTTCTTGCGCAGCGATGACTTCACTGCTTTTGCAGAGGTTTGCTACAGAGAGTTTGGGCAATCAGTGAAATTATGGTCGACAATTAACGAGCCCAATACGCTAGCACCTGGAGGTTATCACATGGGCGATATGCCTCCTAGTCATTGTTCTCCTCCATTTGGGATGGTCAACTGCTCCAGAGGAAACTCTTCAACCGAGCCATATATTGCACTCCATAACATGTTGCTCGCACATGCATCTACCGCTAGATTGTATAACCAAAAGTATAAGGTAAGCCTACACACACACATTATTTAATTTATCCCTGAATGCTCCATTTACTTAATTACCCCTCTCTCTTTCTCCTTGTTGATGGTGTAGGATAAGCAGAATGGATCTGTAGGTATAACTTGTTTTGCATTTGGGTTTTGTTCCTTTGACTAGCTCTGAAGAGGACAAGATCGCTACACAGAGAGCCAAAGATTTCTATTTAGGCTGGTTTGTTTGTTGATTTTGAATTCTTGTTGTGTTTATCTCAAAATTCCTTGGTATGCCACAAAACATTTTTCATCTCTGGATTCCAGGGTTTTGCATCCGCTGGTGTTTGGGGACTATCCTGATGTGATGAAGAGAATCGTGGGCGAGAGATTGCCAAGTTTTTCGGAAGAAGAATCGTATCTCGTTCAAGACTCATCCGACTTCTTTGGAATCATACACTATTCAACAATGTACATCGCAAACTATTCCAGTTCCCTCCAAGGAGATTATTATTCAGACTTAAATGCTATGCTAATCCGTAGGCTTTTCTTAATTTCCTCTGATATTTTTGTGTGTTTTTTAATCTACCATACCTGAGTGAGTCTCTATCTGATTCTTTTCTTCATTTTCTGGGACAGCCATTGGGAATTCCACAATGGTGTCGGTGTGTTTCCAAACTTTTGACAATTCCATAAATCCGTTCTCATCAACACTCTTTAATCTTTTGAAT